CAACCTTTGTAGTTAATATTTTACTTCGACTTCCTAAATTTCTATTAAACTATCCATTTCATTTTGCGTTTCAAATATTAGAATAACTATATATAAAAATAATTCTTCCTCAGCCGCCGAGTATTTGTTTACTTTTGACTTTTTTGGTCAAAATTAGTAAATTTTGACTTCAAACTAAATAAAAATGATATTAGATACTTATAAAAAAAGAGTTTTATTAGATTTATTATATCGAATATTTTTAAAATATTATATTATCTATTTAATTTAATTATAGGTTAAATATTGACTGAAAAAATAAAAAATGGACAAATATTTAAGGACGGAGATAGTATTATAATGAATTAAAATATACATAGTACTCCCTCCGTCCCTAAATAAACTTTCTCTTTCGTTTTTTCTTTATCTCCAAATAAACTTCTCTTTTTCCTTAAAAAAACCCTTTTATCCCTTATTTTTTCATACCCTACCTATCACATCATACCTTTTTACTAATAATCTAGCTATCACATCCTACTTTTACACATCATATCAAGGGTATTTTTGGAAAGTCAACACAAAAATATCTCTCCCTTAAATTTTCAAAAAGTCAAAAATGGAAGTTTAATTAGGGACGGAGGGAGTACAAGTTATTTAGTTATTTGACACACAAAGCAATGGGCGCGGGAAAATTATTTCAGCTATGGGCGCGGGAATTTTTTTTTTCCCCCTAAAATTTCTATTTTCCGTCCTGTTTTGTTTGAACTGTGTATATTTTTCGTCCAGATCTAGGGTTTTCACTTTTCATCTCTGAAGATCACCACCAATCCACCATACGCATAATCTCCATTCTCGACCAGGGCAGGGCTCCATCTCCACCAGGACCAAGTTGACAAGCTGCTTCGACTCTAAGCTCTGTTTTATTAGGGTAATAACTAATAAAGTGTAATGTTTAGATTATAAAGTTTCCTCTTTGATTTTCGGTATAGTGGTTGTTTATTCATATATCCCACGTTTGATTTTGGTTGTTTTTCCATTGGCGACTTTGGGGCTAACAATTACTCCATATATATTATGAATTAGTTTTTTTTAAATAATAAAGACAATCTCGTTGTTTACCTCTGCAATTATTTGAATAATGAGTTTCAACAAGTAGCAATAGTTGCAAAGCTGCTGGATTGTCCATTCTATTTACATATATTGTACTCTTGTCTTTTTTCATTGTTTTTTTGTTCTTGACTCATCTGTTTCTTTCACAATTGGTCATTGTTCTCCAAATTTAAAGTGGTGATGTGTATACATAGTTTGTAATTACTATTATTATTTTTATTTTCACAAATTCATAGGTATAAAAAACACAAATCATGAACACAGAAGTTGATCCTGAACATCAAACTACGGAGGCATTAGATCAAGAGGCTTTGGTTGATACCTCACTAGATGATATGCAATGGGGGCAAAAGAGGAGGAGTACAATATTGAAAGAGTTTATCATACTCTTATCAAGTCAGTGTGTTGATGGGAAAAGAAGAGCACAATGCTCACATTGCAAAAAAGCTTCTTTCTTGGCTGATTCTTACTATGGCACTTCAAATATGAAGAGGCATCTAGATAAATGTCAAGCTTATCAGCAAAGTTTGACAAACAATGAAGGTACATCTAATGTATTTGATCAGAAAACCTATAGGGATTTGTTGGCTAAAGCAATAATAAAGCATGGGTATGCATTTTCATGGGTTGAACATGAAGGGAATAGAAAGATCCATGCATATTTAAACAACCAAGTCAAATCCATTTGTAGAAACACTGCCAAGTCTGATGTTCTGAAACTACATGGGACTTTAAAAGCCCATCTGAAAACTACTCTTCAAAATGTGCCTGGTCGTATTTGCTTAACATCTGATATGTGGACATCTTGTCAAACAGAGGGTTATTTGTGTTTGACTGCTCATTATGTGGATTCTAATTGGAAATTAAATAGCAAGGTTTTGAACTTTCTACATGTAGAACCACCACATACTGGGCATGTTTTATACAGTGAAGTATTGAATTTAATTCATGAATGGGGAATTGAGAATAAAATTTTTTCTATCACGTTCGATAATGCTTCAAGCAATGACAAGATGCAAAACTTTTTGAAAGTCACACTCAATGAACAAGGGCTATTATTGTATAGAGGTCTTTTCTTTCATGTTCGTTGTGCTGCACATGTGTTGAATCTTATTGTGAAAGATGGGTTTACTATGATTCAAAGTAGTATTGCTAAGGTTAGAGATTGTGTGAAGTATGTGAAGTGGTCAGAGGCTAGAAAAATTACTTTCCGAAGTTGTGTGAGACGAGCTAGGATATCAGCTACAAAGGCCCTATGGTTAGATGTTCCTACTCGATGGAATTCCACATATATGATGCTTGACAGGGCTCTTTTATACCGAAATGCCTTTAACCAAATGATGGCTTGTGAAGTCAACTTTAAGAGTTGTCCTGAGATTCAGGAATGGGATATGGTTGAACAAATTCGTGATGTTTTGGAACCTTTTTATGTATAACCAACCTTTTTTCGGGTAGTGATTATCCCACTGCCAATTTCTATTTTGAGAATGTATGGAAAATTGGAATGCTTATAAAGGAGTTGATTCGGAGCAATGATTTCAATATACAAGTAATGGCAGAAACTATGAGGGAAAAGTTTGACAAGTATTGGAATCATGTGGATGAAAATGATTACACGATGTTATTAGCATTTTGCTATTGTTCTTGATCCTCGCCGTAAGATGTCATATATCAAATATTGTTATGAAAAACTACTTGAAGATGAAAAGGAAGCACTTTCGAAAGTGAGTAAGATTCAGTCTAATCTCGGGAAGCTTCTCGCTTAATATGATTCAAATGTTGGCACAACCTCTAGTCCTCGTCCAACATCGCAAAGCCACACATCGTTGAGCACATCAAGAAAACGAAAGGGCAGATATGATTTTCTTGCAGTAAGTTAACAATTATCATTTTCTCTTTTCTCTCTCCACTTTAATTTTATGTCCATATACATAGTGTTCTGTTTTTTTCTATTTTTTGAAATACCATTTTATATTTTATTTATATGTTACTTCTTTCTTCCAAGGATTATGACAATGAACAAGCTTTGTCAGAAAGCAATACAAAGACAAAGTTGGAGACTTACTTGAATGATCCTAAAGAGTCACACATCACAGATTTTGATATATTGGACTTCTGGAAGACGAATGAGTCTCGATATGGACAACTATCTTACTTAGCAAGGGATATTCTGAGTGTGCCATTAACAACTGTTGCATCAGAGTCAACTTTTAGTATTGGAGGTAGGGTTTTGAACAAATGGAGAAGTTCTTATTTGCCTG